CAGCCCCGAGTGCCCCTCTGAGCCCGGGGCTCGGCACCTCCACTCACCTCTGAGAGTCGGGCTAAAACAAGGGCAGGTCTCAACAGGTGCGCTTGCTGAGGAGCGGGACGGTGCTTGGGGAATTCACCGGAGCCTTGCAGCGGGGCAGCCCGGCGCATCGCAGGGCTCCGCAGACGATCACCGCTGGGCATGCGCTCGCTGCAATACGTGCAATGGGACGGTTTGTCCGGAATTGTTTTCCCAGAGATGACTGGCTAGTTTCATCTGCAATATATTTTTCAGGAGACAAATTCCTGGGACTGCTTAATTATTTTTTTTTTTTTCCCAAAAAACCCCCCTGAAATCGGGATTTTCAGCACTTCAGTACGAAATTCATCCTAGAAGAGAGCGCAGAGCTTTGCTGTTTCTACAGACACCACAGCGAAGACGAAGCTAGACCACTCAAATACAATTTGCCAAGAAACAACTTAAAAACCAAGGGTCCCCACTCTCATAGGCAATGTACTTCCCTTCCGCTGCCTTTGTTCCTTTTTTGTGGCTCACTTTGTTCGATTTTTGTGGCTCAGGTCACGGCGCAGCCACCACACAAGCGCCAACAGTCTTCTCAGTACACGGAGCCTGTGACCTGCGAGGAGCTGCCTCCTCCTCACTCACGTCTGAACCCTTGGCCTGACCACAGCTGGAATGTGTTGAACTATGGAAAATGAGAGCAGAGCAGGGCTGAAGGTCATGAGCTTATGATACACACAGCTGGTAACTTCTGGAGCATTTTATTCTACCTAGCTGCACTGGCCCAACTCTTACAGCTGTTTGAAGCCTAGTTTTCATTCTTCTGGCAAAGACAGCAATGCCTGGAACTCTTTGAATACGCACTCTTCCAACTGCACTTGAATGATGTTTTCCTGAGGAAGCCCTGGCGTATGTCAGCCCCTTGCTGCAGCCCCTGTCCCACGCCTCCCACCCCTCTGCCACGGCCATAGCTTCCCGTGCACCAAGGCCCCAGCACTGATCCAGCCCAGCTGCGTAACCTTGCCTCAGGCTGCTGAAAAGAAGACAAAAAGCTGCGAGAAAGTCTGTGGAGAGAGAAGAAAAATAAAATTGACAGAGGTAGAGGTGTTGGGACAGGATTGGCAGTAGTTCAAAGATTCAGGAGGGAAGGTAGCAACATGAAAAGGTGTAGAATCTAAAGGAAGAAAAGAGTCACGAAGCATCAGGTTGGTTTGTTGGGGCGAGTCATCGGTGCTGGGGGCACTGACGGAGCGTGGCAGAAGGTGGAAAAGCAGCAATGCTGAGGGTCTGCTCCGGGTAGCTACAGGGCTGACCCCTGCCTGGTGTGGAGACCTTGCTGGGTGAGCGTGCTCGTGCTCAGCCCAACTGCTCATGAAGGCCTACCCTTCCTCTCTACGGGCTGGTCAATAAATAACTGCTTAATGCTTCCAGTTCTGTACATTTGAAACTGGCTGAAGATACCTGAGTAAACTGATACAAAAGTAAGGCTTTAACAAATGGTATTTTCATATTTTCTACATTCACCGGAAGGCAAAAAAAGGACTAGTAAGAGTCTTTTCTCACTGGTGGAAAAGTATTTCCCATTGGGTAAAGACTGAAGAACACAAAGGAAAATTCAATTTGTGCTTGAAAAATCTAAAACTATTTACTGAAATGTCCTATTTACCAGTAAATCTTCTCTTTGCCTTCTTTTAAATCATTGCTTTATTCCATTACCCTTAAGAGATTAACAGATATTACTTAAAAACATCAGCCCTGTGTGTGAATTTCAGATGGTGAAAATACTGAGAAAAATTCCTACTGCAGATGACTCCTTTAGGATCAGCAGAGTATACATGCAGAAATCATTTTCCAAATGTTTTTTCCCTTGGTAACACTGGCATGCCAGGCTCTAAAACAACAAAGCTCCTCAGAAAGCTGCCTGAACAGGTTGATCTGAACACATGCAGTGTGCACGTGGGAAGTCCTTAGGGTGCCACATACCTTCATTTTTAAAATTTTCCAAAAATCTCTTTCAATGCCAGTAAAGCTGTCAAAAGAGATCGCGTTATTCAGCTAGAGACTGATGAAATGCAGAATTCAGAACACCACTGATATAAGAACTGAGTGAGGCGATGCTGTTGAAATACCCAACACAAACAGTTAAAGCTGCCTGTTGACAAGCTGTCCTTTCTTCTTGGACATGGAAAAAAGCTGCAGTAGTATTTTCCTGTGATATCATTTCTCCTTTACCACAGAAATGGGCTGTGCAGGATTCTCAGATGGTAGGAGCAGCCAGAGCTGTCCTGAAAAGGCAAGACTGACTCATCCCACACGCAGGCTTTTACACACTCCCTCTGGTCACTGCACTATAAATCTTCGCTGTTCTGACATCAGCTTGGCTTTTCTTAGCAGCTGGAGAAGTTGCCAAATTAATAGGTTTTTTTATATCCTAACCCCTATTCTGGATAGAATTAATGGACCAAGTCTGAAAGCCAAAAGCCTCAGATTTGTTTGGGTTAATCGGTGCCAGAATTTGTTGGCTAGGGAATGATACAGATGATCTTTCACAGTTGAAAGAGTACATCAGCCTTGCAAGCGTTTGGAGGGTAACAGCATACGTGTCTTAAATGCCACCAAGTAACACATTGGCTTTCACAATAAGACACGGCTGGACAGGATAGGATGGAGAATCTTATTCCAATGCTTGTGAAAGTTTGCAAATGGTTTTGGAGCGGTTGATCACAGCAAAAGGAACAAGCGCAGTGAAGTACGCACAGGCGGAGTAGGAGTACAAACTCATATAAATATTCTGGCACATAAGATGCGTTCTTCGTCCGATGTTTCTGCTGAAAGTGAGGTGGCGCAGTTTTAGCCAATCATGAAGTTTGTCTGCTATGGTGGAGGTACCATAGCATAAATTAAAGATAGAAAGAGAGACTGAAACAGCACTTAAAAAAAAAAATCCTGAGAAAAACTAACAGAGTACCAGGAAAGTGCTTTGATTTACTCCACAAATATCCTAGTCCAATATATGCAGTCATTAGCAGAGCTCTGATATCAACAGTACTTTGTTACGCTGTCATTAATATATTGCTTGCATCTTGCATCTGCCCAGTTTAGTTAATTTAGAAAATAGAAAAGATTTGGTTTAGCACCTAAAGAAAGGCTACTTCCTAATCACTAACAACAACAAACAACAGGATTGGTGCATAAACTTTCACAAAAATATTTGTGTCAGTAAAAAATCATCCCACATGAACATGATTCTTATTGCTATTTGTTACAGGAAAAAACTTGTTACTAACAGCATGCTTGTAAACAGGATTCAAAACAAATTGTATGCAACAGGATGGAGCCAATGGTTCAAAAGCCAGTTCATGATGAATTTTATTATATATAGTAAAAGTGTGTTACATAAAGACATTGCATTATTGTAGAATGCCCGGTAGAAATCATACACACAACCTTATTATATCAGGTAAAAGGTACTAATCTGAAAGCATTCATTCTTATCAAATATGTTTGGAGTTATGGTGAGAGAGCAAAGTTTATCATGGGGCAATTAGAAAAGCAAATAGATAGCAAAGAATAATGAAGGTTGAAAGGGATTTAAGTTTATTACATATATCTTTCCTAATTCAAAAGATTGCTTATTAATCTGAGATTAACTCCGTATGGTGATGAACAGGAATAATGCAACTAAACCCATTAAGTTTTCATATCTTCTCATGCATTGCATTTTAGACAGGCAACACACTGGGCCAGTATTTAAATTACCCCCAAACGGTTTAATTGTTGTTGGTTTGTTGGGTTTTTTTCAGTTACAGGAGTCTAAATGTGTTTTAGCAGTGTATAGTTTTTTCCCCTCTCTTCATTAATAGTAAGATCCATCCTCGTCGGGGATGTCTTTGTTGCGGAAGCTAACGCAAATTGAGGCTCCTGCCTCCTAGATGAGCCCCTTCCGCTAGCTCCATGAGGAACACGTGTCTTCTCAGCCGGTTAGCTCAGTGGTTTGAGCGCGGTGCTGGCAACAAGGACCAACACCGAGGTTGCAGGTTCGATTCCCGCTCGGTCCCCATGTGTTGCCTGGTCTAGTCGAGAGGTGGCGTCCCTGCCCATGACAGGGAGGTTGGACTAGATGATCTCTAAGGTCCCTTCCAGCCTAGGCCAGTCTAGGATTCTATGATTCTATGATTAGGAGGGCATGACAGAGAGCTTGGGCTGCGCCCAGCTCGCCAACCCGCCCACCTGTCCAGCCGCAGCGCCAAAACCAGGTCTGTGACCCCGCCTCCCAAGGTGGGGAAGGGGCTCTGCGGGGTGGCACAGCCTGCAGCGATCCAGCCCCCCTTCGCCTGCCCACCACCCCTGCGAGGGCAGGGTCACCGCAGCTGCTCGCCACCACGGGGTGCACCCTCAGCAGTGGGGACCCTGTCAAAAGTGTAACAAAATCCAACACTAAAGAAACCAAACGGCTCCAAGATTGCAGCTGGAAGGCAAACGCTCGGGGAATTTTCGATTGCAGTGAAGCATCGTCTCTGCTCTCCAGGACTGGGTATGCCAGGCAATGCCACTGCACTTTGGTAGGCAAAAATCACTTTTAGGCAGCAGTTCAAAGTTATGAATTACAGAAGTAACTCTCCACATCTCCACCTCTACTTCTGGAATATCAGCTGGTATTTACAATGACAGTGTGCAGATCTGGTGACAAACAACACTCCGGGCGGGCTGACAGAGGACAGTGTTCTTGCGTTCAAATCAGGTATTTCATTATGTGCTTTTCACACTTCTTTTCCTGTTTTGTCTGAAAGAATAAGTGACTTTGTAATGTGGTTTGAAAGAGCTAAAATTTGATTTTAATAAGAGATAGAGGAGGGAAAACCCCACGACTGTAAAGCAGGTAGCAACTCTGAGCACTTCAAAATAAACACAAAAGTTTTACCATCATGTGTTTGGTGTTTCCCCCAGTAAAGGAAGGGCTGAAGGAAAAAGACAATGCATTTTCATTTTTTTGGATCTTTTTTATTCAAAAGTTTTCAAAGAAATAAAACAGAAAAAAGCTAACAATCTAATCAAATTTACAGTTCAAAAATGTCTTTTGGCGTTTAACAACAAGTCCTAGGAAACAAAACTACAGAGTTATCTTGAACCGGACAAATAAGTTACCACTGGCAAGTTTGTGGCACTAGTAAAACAAAAATAAAAAAATTAACTCTCTTGATCATATAGATATCTCTATGAAAATCTTTTTTTTTTTTCAATCTGTACAAAAGGTCTTTCTTCATAAATTAATTTTTTATAATTTAATGGCTGTCTACTATGTGATGTTTAAGTAACTGATTATTTCTTTATGTACAGAGGTTAAATTTCCCAAATCTTACCCAGACAATGAGTATGGCACTTAGTTCAGACATTTCTGGCAGCAGCTCTTCCCTCCCTCTAACACAGCTATCATACTGCAGTTTTAACTAACGCAAAAATATCAAGTAGTGAGAGATCCAGGTTTGGAAAGTTACCAGATACAGGCAAGGTGCTGCAGGATGTCTGGACTTTTACAAAGCAGTAATATTCCAGGGAGCATAGAACCAATAATACCACAACTTTTTAAAAACAGAAAAAACAAAAACACATCTCTTATGACTATGTATTTCACTAGAATCTACACTTCTCAGAGCAGCAATTTACTTTTGAAACTATGAAATGTCACCGACATCTATACTCCAATACTCACACAAAAATTTAAAAACTAAAAAATACTTGAAAGAAACAACTGCTTAGCCCTAGCTCCCGAGCTAGGATGATTTGGTCTGTGGAAACAGGGAGGGCCAGCAACCTGTCCCAATACAAAAGGAAATAAACTTTGAGGTAGATAACTGATCATATACAGCTGACCAGAGAAGTACACAGTTTTGGAAGACAACTTAATTTATCATTCGATTTAAAACATATGCAATTGTAATAAAGAGCTTTAGTAGCAGTGAATTATCTAATATGTGAAGTACAAATAACTGTGTATTTATGAATCAGGAATTTCATAGTTTCAAAATTGGTTTTCTTTACACTTAACACTTGTAGTGATGATGTAAAGTGTGGCACTGCTTGGATCCAAGTCTTCCTTCATGCTTTTGTGTCCATACATCAATTAAAATTATAAAACCTAAATGCAAATGTACAAAAAAGGCACATTCTCCTAACCGCAAACTGGTCCGGCAAAAATAAAGAGTACAGAAGACGTAATGCTGAGACAAATCAGAATTATTGGTTACTGGCTCTTTGTTCTTTGGTAAAGTTACCTTTTAAAAGTGCCAAGTCTTTTTATTTTTATTTACCTACTATAGAGAGCTAGTACCCAATCAATTATGCTTCTACTCACATCTCAGCGTGTGTTTGAAAACGAGTCCTTTAGCTTTTGCCATTCTGCTGTAAAAGCAACTTTTGTTTGCTAAGTCTCAGCACGATCCTCATCCCTAAAGCACTATCATTAGTATAAAGGAAGGACAAAAACATTCGGTGATATCCCCACCCCAGTCTCCCTACTCTACCTATGCTAAAACTAGAACATCAAGTTAGTTTCTGAAAAAAAGGCAAAAAAAGATTTTACATTGCATCATACAGCAGAGTTCCTAAGTCATTCAAACTACCAGAGGGAACTATTGGCATATGGCCTTACAAACAATTTATCCTATTAAAATTTCCCCAGTCAGAAAATGTGTTTCACACAAAACATTTTTCCCCCTCTTGCATTTCACTACCTTACATATTATGTGAAAAATCATTAAAAACACTTACTACACATTAAAAAAGCCAAATTTTCAGCAATTTTTATTGACTACCTTTAAAAGCCCTATGCTGCTGTTTTACAAGGCATAATAGACCAGCTCATTTGGTCAAAGCATTCTACACCATTAGTTTGGACTACTTACTGAAACAGCTACAGCATTGAAAGATTTAAGGCAAATTGGAATTTATAGAAAAGGATAAGACACTTCACACTACATTAAAAGAAAAACAGAAAGCTAAAAGACCAGACACTATAATTGCAACACTGCACTAAAGCAACACTCACACACTGCAAGCACAGAACATCATCTTGGATGTTTTACTATTTTAAACTTCAGAAAACCCATTTCATACAGTTAAAAAAAAATAATAAAAGAAACAAACAAAAACAAACCAAAACAAATTCTGTCATGCACGTGAATAAGCCTTCGTGGTCATCTGTGCATACCCAGAAATTCGAATATTTTTTTTTTGCGTCATAACACTTGATAAAAATTTTTTTTTTACTAAAATAAACCTGTTCATGGGAACAGCTACTAGATGAATTTAAGGTTTTTCTTATGCACCTTATAGAACTTATAGCAAAAATAGTTTTAGTTGATTTCATTATAAATAACATTTTCAAGAACCTGTGCAAAACTGTCAATAATTCCTAAAGCACAATTGATCAGTAAAATCCATGATTGTTTCAGCCTTTGCACCCTTCTCCAGGCCAGGTCAACACTGGGCATCTGCAACACAGAAAGGTCAGAGCTAGAGTGGGAGATACAATTGCACAGTGTCTTTTTTTTTCTACTTTTTTTTTATTTCCTCCTTTTTCCTCCCCTAGTGTAGCTGTCCAGAAAACTAAATAATTTCCTATTGTAGACAGCTGTGAGAAAACTAAGTGAATCTGAGTAAAAATCTGAGGAATAACACAGGCACCACCGCAGGTGCTTGCTTGGTCCTTCCCAGGAGAAAGCTCCCAGCCAGGACACAGCCTGTGTCGTATTTTCTCCCTCTGCCTAACACCTGTTCAGCATCCCGAGCTCCCACATCCCATGGCATCTCCAAGGCTTTGGATGGCTGGAAAAGGAACACGACTTTCCTTGGGTGCAGCCTCAGGCCATGTCCAACAGCTAAGGCAGAGACGGCCACTGTCCCTCCGTGATGGCTAATGCTTAACCGTAAGGCAGGGCTCATCGAATCTGAAGGAAAACTTCTCAATTTACTGTATTGGCTTATACTGCCAATATGGATTTAAAAAAAAAAAACAGTTAATTTTAAAAAAGTTTAGGCAATTTTTAAATTTCACAAGGCAAGACAAAGTCTGGTGTTTTAAGGCTTATACATTTATAGGTGCATATGTAATTATCATGGTGTTTTTACCAAGTCTCTTTGACTATTTGCACACAGCAGCAACTTTCTGAAAAGAAGCTATAAAGTTATCAAATGCAGCCGCTACAGGAAAGACACCGTGTATTTCTGATTGACTGCAACCAATTGTGAAAACATGTTAGTTGTCATTTAACCCTTATTTATGGCAATACGTATATTGGCTTTTAATAAGACATCTCCATGCATTCAGCAAGAAGTTTCAGTTTGACAACTGCAGCAAAGCCACAACTATTAAGAGACCGCAGCGCTCCCTGTATTTAGGGCATGAAATAGCTGACAAATCCCTCCCCTTCACCCGTCTGAAAAACGACAAGTACCAATGCGTTCCAGGGACAGAAATACCAAACGCCATACTCGGAGGCTGCAATCAGCCGACTAATATTAACCTTCCCCACGTGCCCACTGCCACAGCCGCTGCTGACACAGGCTTCACCACTGCATACAGACACAGGCGAAGGTACTTCTCTGAAGAAGAAAATACGTGGAGGAGTGGCTTACAGGAAACGTGCGGAGATGCTCGCACACCTCGGTATTCTACACTGAGCCATCACGACGAAAACATGTCTCGGATGGCAACACGTCTCATCCTTTTCGGGAGACTAAACGCTGCTCCTCCGGCCTGGCCCCACTCTACGGGAAAGATACTGGTGGGCTGGGAGCGCAGAGGCAGGATGGGGAGAGGACATGCAGGACTACGCTTCGCCGTCTACCACAGATCTCTGTTGGGAAGGAGGTTTTACACGCCCGCAGGGAAGACTTTAAGGCAAAGCAAGTAATTCCTTGAGAAGTGGTTAATGGCAGCCAACAGCCTCGACAGGGGAAATGTGCAGGAGCCATGATTTTAACACTAGGAGATGGATAACAAGAAGAGCCTGTGGCTTTGCTTTCCCCCTGCCCTGAAAGGAAATCAAGGTGGCATCCCTGCCCAAAACAGGGAGGTTGGACTGGATGATCTCTAAGGTCCCTTCCAGCCTAGGCCATTCTATGATGTGGGCTTTCTCTAGATGCCAGACTACAACAATAAACACAGGTCGTATGTTGCCCTATGCAGACTGTGCCATCTGTTGAATGCACAAAGTTTCCCCATTGGTTTGTTTCTAACTTTACAGAAAAGAAGTTTTTATGCCAACAATGGGGATGAGAGCGGTGCTGTCAAATAGCACAGCTGACCTGAAAAATCAAAGATAATTCCAAAATGTGCGCACTGCTAGATCTATACATTTTAGGGAGGATACCACACAATCAGAAATTCTTTGCATATAGCTGATTATGATTTTTAAGTATCTAATAAATGCTGTGAGCGCTGTACAAAAACTCTTCCAAGATGGCCTCTACCACATTACTGCAGCTGAGTGGAATTTTTCAGCATGAGGTCTTACAAAAATTGATTAAAAAATTATGTGGTCAAGTTGTCTGCCTTACAAAGCACTTAGAAAAAGATGAGTTAAGGGAGAATTAAATCCCGGAATTTGAAAATATGGAGGATGGAGAAGGAAACAGTTAGTTTAAACTGTATTTTCAGGATGGCAATCTACAGAATGCAAAAATTTTGCACGGAAGGAGTTTGGGTAAAGCTAAAGACTGGAAAGTAAAGAAAGGCCATGCAAGGTCCCTGCCTGTGGTCTGCAAGTCAGTCACAAAGCTGCTTCCCAATCTTACATGTACCACAGAACTAGAGGATTTTATATGTACAAATACAGTTCCCTTTAGCATTGTGATTCTCATATTTTTGCACTAATTCATTGTCATTCTTGTATACAGCTTGCTGCCAAGATGAACAAACTAAAATCCAACATAATCCAGTTATGCTACAGAGACATTATTAAAACACTATTACTCATAATTCATTAACTCACTTCTGGAACCTGTGCTCCCTTTCCTGACTTCTAACTGGCCCAGTTCAAATTAACTTCACTGCCTGCCCCCAGATATTATCAGTGTTATTTATATATGACATTAAAGAAAAAATAAAAATCAATAGAGAGTACTGTAAGTTATGAAACAAAATATCTTGGAATTCACATCTTTCACGTGACAGGACGAGCCCCTACCTCACAGTTACTTATTTTGCTGATATGTATATGGAGAATGGTCACTGGACGTCTCTACTGTAACCTGTTGCTGACCACTGGCTTCCTGCAAACAAAAAGGAAGACAAGAGACAAAATCAAGCAGCATTATTTGCAATCTCTATTTCCATGTGACTCATGCATTTAACAGTCTTCAAATTAAAGTGCTCCTAACATCTCTGAAGTGGGGTATTCCATATTCGAGATGTTAACTTTGCATTGGGTTACATTTCAGCAGAGTACCAAAATGATTGTGCAAACCTTCTGTTTCCTCAGCTGCTTTGATGATAGTTAAAAAACCCCACAAATCTTTGACATTATAGAAATAAACACAGAGGAAGCAGTTATAAAAAAATAAAATAACTGCTAGTATATTTTCTATTTGCAAATGCAAAGGAGTATTCTCCTCCTCTCCTTTTGAGGGGCAGCAAGAAGAATGAGATCTACTTATAACATGTACACACTGTGGTGTGATCAGCACCAGGTGATGCAAAGAATTGCAGTTGGGACTTCACATGCAAACCCCTCAGAAACCAAGGAATTAATTCAGCTGATAGTGTTCTGGCAGACCGTGCAATCAGCTTTTGTTACCAAAAATCCTTCTCCGACCCACGTGGGCAGATGCATAAATTGAACCAAACAAGTCCTAGAGTTTCTGGGCAAAAAGACTTTGGAATGAAATGTGTTTTTAATTTTTTACAGACTCTGGAAGAGACTGTCTGGCATTCATTCTGAATACAGGAGCTGCAGCACACCTTCTTGTCTATCTCCTCTGTTAAAGAAGTACTGACCCATGAAAGGGTTTAAGGTAAGTCAAAATAGTAGACAAACTGTTATCTGCTGTTTAGTTATGCTCTTCAGCTGGACTTGCAGAGGGGTTTATTAGGCAAATATGCGCGGTAACCTGAGATGCCAGGGTAAAATCAGGGTTTTTTGCAAAAAGTGACAATCATGGTCTCTTGGCAGAGAAGTTTGCTCACAAGAAAACTAAATGAAAGACCAAATTGGAAGACCTATTGGAAGTTAGGTTTCACAAAACACAAAGCTGGTCTGAGCTATGCTTATACGGAAGACTTCTCCAAGTACTGTACTATGACAAGTACAGCTCCTCTTTGTTACAATACTAGCTGTATTAACCGAGAATAATGACACTTTATAGTTTTAATACACTTTGAATTCACAGTACGTTCAGTTACAATGTTAGGCTTTAAATGGTAGTTTTCCTAGCAAAGAAATATCTGCTATCATATTGACATCTCTTATCTCTGGTCTTTTATAAAACATACTAACCTCAACAGGAACCGCTGCTGTCTGGACATGTGTATATTGGGGTATGTAGGCTCCTTGCATAGCTGTTGTGGCTGGCATGTACTAGAAAGACAAAGAATCCATTAAGATACAGTCCAATATAAATTTAAGAGTATTCAAAATACTCCTCACGATACTGTTTCGCAGATATTGACTGTATCACTAAAGCAAAATGAGAGAAAGTGTCTGAAATCAACAGACTTTTCTGAAAAGTGAGATGTCTGTCTTGAGAAAACCCAAATTTTGACTTCAAAGACTAGGCAAAGGACTTTTCCTTCTCTGTTAATCCCAATCACCATCTTTTCTTCTGATCTGCTCAGAAAATAAAGAGTCTTTCAGTTTAGAAACTAGCCTACACCTCTTCTGGTTTAGGTTGTGTTTCGCATGTTGTATTACTTTCTGCAACTCTGACCTCCTGAAGAGTAAAATCAACTATTTTTCCTTTTTTGATACAACTCTAGAGTTACCTCCTGAGTTTCTTTCATCTGTCTTGGTCTCTGTTTACTCATTTTTAATTTATATTTCTAATAGACAATAAAACCTGCTGAATAATTTCAAAATGGAGACAGTTCTTCATATTTTACTGGATTACTGAAAGGATTACTTTTCTTCTACATGCAAACTGCACATGCATACTGTGATCTACATGCAGTATTTTGTGTGAGTTCCACTTCGTATTAAATTGCTACATACTGTTCCAGTACTGCCTAATGAAAGATGACTCATCTGCTGTGTCAGAGGGCTTATCATCGACGCAGGCTGTAGTGACATGGTGTGGTCCATGGAGGGAGTCAGCACAGCACCCTATTAAAACAGAGAAAGAAAGAAATAGCTATGAACGCTCTGATTTTAATGACATTTTTGATCTGGGAGTCTAAGTATGGGCGGTTCTTCCGAAACGATATACCCCAAGAACTCTCCTTAATCCCAGGCAGTGACTCGGGACACAGGGATGGGGCATTCCAAAGGTTCTACTCGAGTGGATGCGCTTTGCATGGTTTGGTAACAGGGCAAGAATTGTGCTGATTTCCCACTGAACACACAACTGATATACAACGCACTGAAGACACCTACTGAAAACGCTTTGTAAAATATGAGCTTAACCAGACGCTAACTTTAAAGGAAAAAGCTGTGCACGTTACCAGGTATGGATTCACTTAGCTTAAGCTTTGGAATTTGAGGCCTTAGGAAGAAACTTTTATCTCATCTTTGGGAATGGAGGCTTTGGGGCAACATTTGTTTTAGGAGAATTCTACCCATCACATGCGATGCGCACGCACAAGACAGCTGCCCTGCTTAATTTCTGGTTTTGTTAGCACATACATTTTAGAAAAGTGGGTTAGCAGCACTGATTCTTGGTCTTAACCACCTACTGTGATGACGTTTCTATTTCCCCTGTATCATTTAGTTAACTTCAGGAAAAGTATATGTTGAATTTTTAAACACTTGAGATTGCTAAATATGGAGGGCACACTCCTAAGGTTTTCGGAACAAACTGAAATGGAGGGTTATCAACAAATTTCATTTTGCCACTCATGTTCTACAAAACTACATTTTCAAATATTTTGTATGACTTATGCTTGCAGAAGTGTTGATTAAAACTGATGGAGGCTCAAAACTAACAGAAATAATTGCAGAAAGCCAGTATTTTGAATCAATAACTAATCCTTAAAAAGAAAAAGTTTTCGGAACAAACTGAAATGGAGGGTTATCAACAAATTTCATTTTGCCACTCATGTTCTACAAAACTACATTTTCAAATATTTTGTATGACTTATGCTTGCAGAAGTGTTGATTAAAACTGATGGAGGCTCAAAACTAACAGAAATAATTGCAGAAAGCCAGTATTTTGAATCAATAACTAATCCTTAAAAAAAAAAAAAAAAAAAAAAGGAAGAAAAAACTCTGTACTTAGTATGGTTGGAAAAACAACCATGTGATCAGCGTAGATGAAATGAGTCACAGCACATCAAATGCTAAAAGAATTTCCTGTCTGTAGACTGCAGGCTTCTCTGCAAAGCAAATGAGCAAGACAGCACCAGCCTTTTGCACAGGCCAAAAGTGAACTTCAGTCAGGAATCTAGAGCTTTAGTTTCAACTGTGAAATCTCATCTTGTATACCTCTGAAACGAGGACACTGTATAGCATTCTAACATACCGACTTGTGTCTTTCACAGCATGATTTGCAACGTGTGTTTTTAAAGAAAATCTGTGTTGATAGAGAGAAAAGTTAAAAAGTTTTGTGCACGGGTGTTTAACATCAAAAGCCACAAATACAACAACAATTAAGTTGTGTGAGAGGGTGGTTCTGGTTCTGTATCACCTTCTCTGCATGCACAAGAAGAAAATGTTCTGTCAAGAAGATTTATGTTGTATCATCTGCACAGAGAGGTTAATTAGAGTCAGGACTATATCATTTCTATATCTGGAAACAGACTTGTTTGTTAACTACATGAGTGCATGAATTAAAGCGTCTGTTATTATTTGTAATATTCACCTCCAGAAACCTAGTAAGTCTCAGATATAATGCTACATAATTGGCAAATGACATAGATAAGAATCAAAATATCATGGGAGAGCATAGATTAGAATGCCCCACAGTCTGGTACCGATCCCAAAACCAAAAGTGTAGGGAGACTGTCATTACTCATGACCAGTGAAGCCAGAACAAGCTATACAGGTTCTCTCAAGTGATTCCCCTTAATGTCATTTATATCACTATATCCATCTGTGTCTCACAAATTATCCAGTCTGAACTATCTTAGACCCATTCTCAAACCTCCAGTCTTCAAGTCTGATTTCTGATAGGTAAACACTATGTAAAGCATTGGTATTTGCAAAGCGCTTTTAATTTAAATATCATAGAATTTTAAATAGTTTCCTTAAGATGCTGACTTGGTAACTCTAATTGTCCTTATCACCTTGATACCCTGAAGGCCGCTTTCTTTTTTTTCCTAATAAAATGAGGCCTCAGTTCAGGTTACTATCTTTGTTTCTCTTTTCATTTGGATTTAATCATGATGTAATTGTCAAAACTCTGGAAGTAATTGGGTGGGAATTGACCCACTTCCTGTTGTTTAAAGTATGTAAAGCATTTACACAACCAGTAACACAACAGAGAAGCATAAAGACTTACTGGGTGCTGCATGATATATGGTTGAGGCTGCATCCAAGAAGGACTCTGCACCTGCAACGAAATCAGTATTTTATTTTTCCTTTTAGTCATTCTTTTCCTGAATATTCCAACTGAGATACAGTAATAATTTAATAAAACATGTTAACAAGTCCCCTCCCTTATTTGTTCACTTTTTAATGCAATTAGTCACTCTGTGGAGCAACAGTGATTTCTATAAAAAGTGTATTTATTGCACCTGTAAATTGTAAACAAGATTTGGAAAAAACATACCACGTACACCTTTCAGATCAGTATACTATGTTTTTAGTGCAGGTCTCAGAAACTTTATCAAGTACACCGAAAGGGTTCAAATAGATGCATGTGAGATTTCTGCTGTACTGAAAAAGGAGGCACCTTCTGCCTTTGTAATTCCTCTGAGGAAAAGTAATTTGGATCTCGGAAGGCGTAGTATTGCTTGCCTTCTGGGATGATCCGGAAAAATTTAATTATTGGATTTTCACAAGAGATGAAGAAACCAGGAATTCTGCTGGAATCCTGTTTTGGGAACAAGGAGAAGATTCGAAACTGCTGCTCTTCAAGGCTTTGCAGTGTGTTATTCCCAAAGCACAGGAAGAGAAGATTCTGACAAGCATCCCTGCTCTTGCAATTAGTGTGATTTCTCTCCAAAACCCCTGAGTACTCAAATAGTGGAACTGAGGTAGGATGCTTAACTCTGTATGACAAGGTGAACAAAAAAGATTAAAATGTAAGCTAATAGGCTACATGGTTATCTTAGTAAAAAGAGCTAGTTGCAACAGCTCTTTGAAGAAGTGTGCTGCAAGAAACATTAAAGCTAAGAAAGAAAATGTTTCCTCCAACACCAGATGTATAGGATAAGGCAGGATTCTGACCTGCACCACACATGTACAGCTGACTCACCACTGCTACCGGACATTTAAAGCCCCTTAAATGTCTCTATCATCATTCCCAGAGTCCTGTGAACAGGACAGCTAGACAGAGAGTCTTGAAAAAAATCCAGGTGAGGTACTTTTTTGCAATACGTAAATATTTCTTCCCTCCTTTTTGTACTGTCTTCCAAATTACAGTACGTTTTTCAGTCAGAAAATGAGCAAACAGCAGTTCAGAAAAGGAAAACACTTGAATCCTCCCTTTCCTCAGGCAAAAAGCTTAATGGCAAAAGTACTGGTACAGCCAGACTAAAGCCTTGGCTGATCTACTCGTACTATGATAGTAACTGGCTTAGTACTGTCACTTGGGTATACAGGAGTTGCAGAAACAAACAATAGACAAAACTTTATTATATTTGTTTACCTTTAATAAGAATAAATCTAGGAACAGGTTATACCGTGCCTCAAAGAAAAAAATAAATAAATCATGCTCTTGGGATACGTCCTGTTGTGCAGATGAGAGAATGCTGCAGGTTTCAGTGAGAAGGGATCAGTAATGAGGATGTGACTAATAGTCAAATTGCGTAACTCTTCTGGCCAAGAACCTCCTTCCTCCCCAATGCAGAATACTCCGATTTAATTTTCAGTTCCTATTACTGTGGCACTTTAAACACAGTGATGTTAATAACCCCATTCACAGTAATTGAAGCTCCATGCCATGTCTACTGAAATACTGGTAATGTTTCTGGAAACACACAGGGTGTGGTCTGCCCTCCTCAATAAGCCCAGAAAAGTGACACTATTCCTAACAAGTATGTTTTCATGCTGATTTCCAACTTCTACTTGGATTCTGAATACCTGAAAGTCTTATATTGATAAATAATTTATATTTTAATAAAGAATAGCAACTAATTCTACTGGAATATTTTTTCTGGGTAAGAACTTGCTGTAATTTTTGAGGTAGTGCTGCACAAAGCAGAACGATTCAATGCTCTGAAAAATACAGTACTAGCACTGTCTACCAAAAGCAAACATTGTGTTGCATAAGTCACCTCAGAAATTAATATAAAATTAATCCAGCTGCCCTTTACCTCAGAGTACATTATTTTAACTCCTACCTAACGCTTTGCTCATGCAAGGAGACATTAGACCTCCAAAGTCATATTAGACAATTCTTCCTCATTCTTTTCACCAGGAATGGGAGGGTATGTGAAATTTCTGTAATGGAATACCGACAAAACAGCCCACAGCGTCTCTTTAGCCTTCTATATGCCTTCTATATTCACTTTTACCCAGGCAGCATGTCTCTCACTAAAAAGAAAGAGCCTCTAACCCTTCCCTGGTACAGAGAAGTAAGAATTTTCCAAATTTAATTACTTTTGGTTATTTATGACCTGAATCACTGATGTTTAGTTCAGCTGTGTTAGAACAGTAAAAGGCCAAAATAGCCGATCATTTAGCTTACACTGGGATAACTGTCATGTCTCAAGTAGTAACTACAGAACTGACATACTAGTTGTATTAAATGCAAGGTTTTTTTGTAAACTGAAATGTGTGATGTCCTGGAACTGAGCATTCCTAAGAGATTTATGTCAAAGTACATTTCTCAGACTGTTGAATTGTTTGTCAATATCCCTTGGGAGAGGACTCAAGACACCTATGAAAATTCCTTTTCAGGAAGCTTCAGACTGTGGTCTAAGAATAAAAGATAAACCATGTCCTTTTTTTAATTTATTGTTAAAAATAAAGTAACTTCTTGTTTAGAAACACAATTCTAAACCATTAAATGCTTTACTTCTAATATAAAACCACATAATTTGAACACTAATTTAAACTCTGAACTGTCTTTTAGGTTTCTTCTCTAATGTCAAGCAAGTTTCTGCACCCTTCTTAGTACAACTATGTAAACCACTATTGCTAGGCTTTTTTTTTTTTTTTCACTGAAACAACATGGAGACAAGTTCAGAAACCATGGAAAATTATCTTTGAAATAAGATTGTAATTAAATCAAAAAGGTTTAAAATAAAGAATAATTATTTTAAAGATATATTATTGATATTAATATAACTTGACCATGAGAAAATGAAAAATCACACACGAAATGTAGAAGTGGCCACATATACCTAAGTCATCAGCACCAGTTACAGACTTTGTTTTGCAAGACACCAGGTATCTCATTAAGCTGCTGTGCTCCTTGAAACAAACACACTTTTATCTTCCAAGGCCATCATTTTCATACTGTACAGCATGAGGAAGCCACTTCATTAAAATGAAGCATTATTGGAGAATTCATAAAACTCAGTGTAGCAACTGATAAATAAACATAATCTCTGATGAACCATTTCAGCTACTAAGTTCTAAATACAAACCTGGTATGTGGAAACCGGAGAAGCAAGATATGGCGTAATAGATGTCTGAGTGATCATTCTGTTTGCTGTAATACTGTAGGGTGACGGATAAAATCTAGAAAATGCAGAAATATTTATTAAATGGCAGTTCTATGCATCTTTCATAATGGAAACAGTTTTTTTCTTAGTGTGCCATTATTTAACATACCCATTTTGCAAAGCAGCTGTGGTTGGATCATATGTGAGTGTCATTCCAGCCTTTAAAAAAAAAAAGTGGAAAGAAAGCGTTGACAAAATTCATTTTGATTATAAGTTATTTCTCTTACTCTTAAGTCATATTATTTTACCTGAAAATTTGCATTGAAATAATTCTTTATTATAAATTACAGAACGGTTAATTGACAGAAGTAATTATACAGTGAAGAGAGTCGACGACATTGGCTATGAATACACGTTTCCAAGTTCCCAGCATGAGGAACAAAATGCAATCTAAGAAATACCTGGCTAAGAGAACATGTGTGTGTTTGAGAGGCAGGGCACGAAGATGATTATGTTAAGGCGTTGCCTACAATATATTAACTATAAGAATGAATGGGGAGTGTTGTTTTTCAGAAGGCACATTTGAATTTTCTTGTCTCATATAAATGAGGTGTCTAGGCTTGCTAACCACAGCAGGTCTACGAAACTATTATCTTGAACATTAAAGACTAAAAAAGCTGTGACTCAAAAAAAAAATTAATGCGGCACTGCATTGGTATACCATTTTAATCTTATGAAAGTGATGTGCATTTCAGTGCTGCATAAATCAAAGGATTATTTACTACATGCAAATGAAGTTATGTTTCATGTAGTTTTAGAACATGAGAAATATCTCAGGCATATTCCTGACCAAGCTGAAGGAGATTTTATTGCTCACCTCAATGAGGTAGGATTTAGCATTTCACATTTTTCGTTTTTTTCTCTTAAGAAAGAGACAGTTAAGCATTTTATACAGTTGCAGACTGTCAGGTAAGAGTTGCCTGCACATTTTTAATATGCCAAAGAGCCAAGCCAAGAAGTCTCAGTGCCTACCATTTTCCTAAGTATTCTTTATTGCACACCCACACTAAAGCTTGAAGGGAGGACTTACAAGTCTCACCTCGCCTTCTCTGTGCCATGCTCTTCCATTCTGTATATATTTATTCTGATTCTGTCTCTTTTTCTGTCCTCCATCAGCAAACTTGCACAATAAGGGTTCTGCAGGAACTGAGAAAAACAAAGAAATATTAGTTGAAGTAGCATTTCCATACAGCGACGTTTGGTGCTCTATACGAGGTATGTTTTTTTAAGTTATATTCTCAATATGACAGTTAAATAACACAGACTCATACTACAGCATCAATGACTGTTCTGCATAGCACAAAGCTGCCACACACAAACAAAGCATCTGGAATGCCTTATAGCTTTGATTTTCAAACACTGCTCTAAAGCCTGCTGGAACGAAACATGGTCTGTATATCCCCAGTATGTGTCTGTAGGTCTGGGGATGAATGAGAACTGCCATCCGAATCCTGAGCTTTGCCTCTTAGGAGGTCACATATAAGGAGAGTGGAGAATAAATCTGGTCAAAGGACTTCAGTAAATTCCCTCCATCTCTTGGAGGTTTCAGTAATGGCCCAAAACGTAAAACTGCTCTTGCCCATTGAGAATAGCCAGAAGTGCTGGCACAGAACCTTCACATATTCTAGACAGTTGGCTGGAGGGGCTACCTTTATCTTCTGCCACCTTGCACCGAAAACATGCCACAACTGTCCCTTCTTTTTTTATCCTTGCTCTATAAAGAGTACACAATGCAATCAGAACTTCTTCAATATTTTTCTCTCATCTTGTATTTTGCATACTGTCATGAAACAGTATTGTTATACTTTACTATTTTTAAAACTTTTTTTTTTTGCATAACATAATCCTGATCATGACTTCATTGACTTAGTTTTCTAAAGTCAAAATTGAAGCAACGAAGAAAGATAAGTCTGCATAGTATTTTCTCCCTGTTCCTAGCTTAAACTGCAACAGTTTCTGAGTGGGTATGGCTGAAGCACAGCTCTGCTTCACCACACCCTCCCTAATCACAGGGTGGAAGCGCTGTTATGACTTGGATGTGAACGCTTCTCTGCCAATAATTCCTGACATATGAGCTGTCTAAGCTTTACCATGACACTCCTCCAGTCGTTCTCTGTTTGGAAACACCTTCACGAAGCACGGCTGGACCTGAAAACATGAGTTTCCAAATGCGGTGTAAACATTTGGAGTGGAAGGGCCACCCACAGAAAAAAAAGTAACCCCAAGAAAAAATTTAACATATCTGAATCATGCCACAAATCTACTAGTATATCTGCTCAATCTACTAGCCATGGCCAGTGCCGACGTGATCTCCACTCCGTCTGCAGTTACAAAAGACGATTGGCATTGAAAAACTCAGAGGCTTATAACCTGGCAAAGAGCTTGACTTTTACAGCTTTGGCACAGAACTAGCGCTAACGGCCAAGTCATGCCTGGCTCTGGGTGGCACACCTGAACACCAGCTCTGCTTCTATGGGAAAACCTCCACCTCCTGCATGATACACCTTTTGACAGCCTTCTCTTCCAAAGATGGATCTCCACCATTGGCCGCAGCCCTCATAACTGAGGCCAAACATCAATGCTTTTAAAAAAAACAACCCACAAACAAAGCAGACCATCTATTTAATACCGCCAAATTCTGTGAGAAGGTTCTATAGCATTTGCCTTCCCTGATCTCAGCTCAAGATTTGAATGCTGATAGCAAGGATCACTGCAATTAAAAAGCCTAACTGCAGTTTTTGGCTGCTCTTGCATACATGTGTCCCAAGTACAATTGCACTCAGTGCTTCAGGAATACAGTGACTGATGGTCATCAGAGGGAGGACCATGAGAAGAAGATAAAACTTCATGGGAGCCCAGTATGATCTGTCGATCTCCCTGGCACCAAAGAACAAAGTCCTTATTCTCTTTAGAATAAAATCTGAAATTTATTTCTCCAGCTTACCTTTGCTCATATTTTTCATAAATACACTAAGATATTCTCTCTTGCACATAC